CTTCTTCTGTCCCTTTTCACTGGTCAGGGGTAGTTTCCTCTTGGTTTCCTGAGGTTTTTTTTCTTCAGTTTTTTGTATGTCTTTTACGAATTGGTGATCCTCCTCTGTACACTGATTAGCCCAATGCCCAAATTTCCCGCATTTGTAGCACGAATCCTGTTTTTTTCTGGGGCAATCTGGGGCCCAATGCCCTAACTCTTTGCAGAAGTAACATGGGTCTGTCTGTCTTGTTTTCTTAGTCTCTCCTGATCCCCCTTGTCCCTCTTTTTTCTGGTAAGTGCTTCCTCCTCCTCCTTTCATTTTGTTTTGCATGTAAATTTTCAGATGATTCAATTGGTTTTCAGCACCACTCATCTTGTTGTTCATATCATTCAGCTTGTTATCAAGACTAGACAGCATGTTAACAATTCCATCCAGAGTTGTAGTTAAAATATTCATATCTTCTTTATTCATGTATTCTTGAAAATTAAAGGGGGCTGCTACATATTCTTCAGGTGTCACAAAACTAGGGTTGTGTGGGGTATTCATCATTGCTTCTGCCATAATATTTTTCACGTCTGTCAAGTTTGAAACGCCAACCAAGACTGATCTTTAAATTTTACAGTTTTGCTTTATATACCTGGTGGATTTGTAATAACCCTGTGCAAAAAATATACTTTTTACCTACGTTTTTTATACCTGATACATTATCTGTAAAGGACCGTGTGCAAAAAATTAGGGGGCCGTGTGCACCTTTGACCTACTTTTTTATACCTGTTGCATCACCTGTAAGGGGGGCCGTGTGCAACAAATATACGTTTTACCTACGTTTTATACGAGGGTTGGGGTATAAAATGAGAATAAAAAGTAAAATTAATTTTTTTACTGTGACAGGACATAGATGCGATGAAAGAAAAAAAAAGTATGTATTCAATACAGAATGAAATACCCGGAAATTTCACACAGGTTAAGAAAATCAGTGACTTTTAATACCAAAACCTCAAAAATCAAAAATCTACGAATTACTAGCCCCCCACCGAAGACCAGAGAGGTCCTCCCCCTGGATGCAATGAATATCAGATCGAAATACAATTTCGGAGGAGAATTTTACAGTTAGAAAGCTTTTGTTAGTTTTTTAAGAAATAAAATAAAATCATGTAAATATCACGTCAGTGGTTTTTTATGATGTCATCTTGAATTCTTTTGAGACGCGCAGTCTGTGTATGGTTTTTGATCAAACGTAAAAAAAAATCTTAAGTAGATCATGATCCATCAAGTAAATACGAATGATTTTCAAAGCAATACGAATCTTTTTATGTAAAATTTTCTTTCATAAAACATTGGGTTACTTAAAAAATCAGGGGATGTGTATGTCATACCTTGTTAACACCCGATGACACTACAGTGTTCGATTTTGGTAAAAAAAACAAACGATCATGACTTCTAAAGGATCTAAAAAGTAGATACGAATTGTTTTTAACCTCATGACATTTTATTTTTTCTTAAAATATCAGTCAGAAAAAGGCTAGATTCCAAGAATCCTTATGTATCTCTTAGTATGATTTTCTGAAAATGCGTGACCTCTGACCCCCCCCCCCATTGTGTTTATAGGTAAACCTATTTGAGCTTGTTTTTTACCCTGATCATGATTCTTTTGAAATAAAAACTATATCGGCACTCTTTCCTAAGTCCCTTCTCCCGAACCCACATGAGTTTTCCTGATCTCACCCTCTAAAAAGACTTAAAAGGTTTATTTTATACACTCGGGTCACTGGATTTCGCCTCGTCGCTTCGAGGTTTTTCACTGTTTTCTCCACAACGGATGCATGTCATGTATCAATTCTAGTATGAAAAGAAGCAGGAAACCTACCTTGTTTAGACCTGTATCATGCTGGAATCCTACTATGAATACATACTAAATAATCCATGAAAATGTACAAGTCCCAAAGTACAAATCACACACAATTTCAGTTCGCCATGAGATTTTCAGCTCTCGCCATCGAGGTGCTCTCTTTTCGGTCCGTCATTTGTGCATAAATACCGACGCTCGCCAGCAGTCGGCGTCATTCTGTTAGTAGCGGCTTATAGATCTTTACCATACGCCGTCTCCACGGCCAGACTTTTACTTTCCTTCACATCCTCCAGTGTCTTCTCTTCCTCCAGTTCCTGACGCATCTGTTGGCCTTTCCTCTCATCTCCTGACGCATCTGTTGGCCTTTCCTCTCATCTCCTGACGCATCTGTTGGCCTTTCCTCTCATCTAAACGGTTGGTGTTTCTATCCTTGGTGTGGTGAATCCGATCGAAATCGAAGTCCCGAGATGACGATTTTATTCCCCCCGTTTTGGGTCCACCAGTGAGGACGAGGACATCGGCAGCCTTATTGAGTGCCTGCTAAGGGAGTAAACCCTTTGAGAAAAAAATCACTTTTAAACCAAACGGCTCTTTTAAGAGCCAACCAAATGTTTAGAAAAGATGCCAACTTATACAGAGGTAAATAAGAAACGTTTTGTGTCTAAGAAAAGATTACCTTTAAAAAATACAGTCAAAGAAACGTTGTGTCTAAGAAAAAAAGATTATCTTTTTTTTTCAAATACAGTCAAAGAAACGATTGTGTCTTAGAAAAGATTATCTTTAAAAATACAATGGTAATAAGAAACGAATGTTTCTAAGAAAAAAAAAGGAATACCTTCTTATACAGTCAAAAAAAAACGTTGTGTGTCTTAGAAAAGATTACCTTCTTATACAGTCGATAAAAGAAAAGATTACCCTTCTTATACAGTGGGTAAACAAGAAACATTGTGTGTGTGTCTCTCTCAAGTTAACACCAGGTCACTTTTTTTAAATTTTTATAATTTTTTTTTTTATTTTTTTAAAATTAACTTTAACTTTTTTAAAACTTTTTAAATTTTTTAAAATAATAAAACATGAATTTTTTATAATAATAACAATAATACATTTTTCTAAAATTTATTTTATACCAAACAATAATACACATACATACACTCAATGTGGATGAAGAATGTACACCTGTTTGTTATAAGTGTGTACAAATTGTTTTCAATATTTTTTTTTAAAAATATTCAGGTAAATCTACAATCTCTTGGAACTAATTCTCTGTTTCTAACTTCAGATTTAAGAACCCCATATTCTTCATAGTCACCTTGTCTATAAAAGGTTCTTTCCAATTCTGGGGTACTGTGAGACATATCAAAACAAGTTAACCCATGAATCTTTTTGTACATATATCTCTCATGACAGCTGTATTTCATTTGAATGAATCCTCTCACATGATGAAGTTTTCCAGTTTCTGGATGCCTTTCTTTTTGTAAGATCAAGTATTGATAATCACTTCCAATGATTTGATCTACATCTTCCTGTCTGCACCCAGTTAAATCAAATATCCAATTTTTGGCTACTCTAAATGTCTATCTTTAACTTAGCAATATAAAGATTACCTGTATTTTCTTTATGTTCGTTTTGATAATGAGTCTTAATATCTTCCAAGAGTTGAGTTTGAATTTCTTTCATTATTTGTGGACTCTTCTCCTCTGTGGGTTTAAAATCCTCTGTCTTTATCAATCTTTTTTCTGACATCTCTATTTTCTTATCATCTGTAAACTTGGCTTCTTCTCTAGTCAAGGGTCTTACAGGGTAATCCAGGTTACCCTCACCCTCTATGGGTAATAAATGGTTATATTCCTCATTGACTTCTTCTGCAATCAAGGGTCTTTCTATGTAATCTCTCCCATCATTAGGATCACTCTTTTCTGGACACAATTGGTTATATTCTTCTTGAGAAATGATCTCAATAGTCCCATCTTTTTTTTATTTTAACTGGTATACCTCTATCAACATCTTTCTCTGAAAGAACTCTCTCTCCAAACTGAATTTTACTCTTTTGCTTCCTAAAGGTGTTACCCATGGTTGAGACAACAACAGTACTGAGTGTTTTTAATTTCACACCTTGAATTTATACTTTTCTGTGAAACTATCATGGGAAAAAAAACCAAATATTTAGAAGAATGTAAGAGTGATTTTTGAAATATTTGTGATATGTATGTATATTTTGCATAAAATCCCATCCTAGTATTTTAATTTAAGTCCCAAACATGGTCATGACACAGTTTCTGATATTAAATAGATCTTTTTTTCTGTTGTAAAAAGAAAAAAAATTTCACTTCTCCAAGTATTTTTTTTCTTCAGAAAACATGTTTCTCAAACTCCATAACTCATTGAAAGCAATGAGGTAGATAACTATTACTTGTAGGTACAAACTCCTTTCATTTTAAAAAAATCCTGGTAGTTTTCTTTTTCTGGGCAAAGTTTAAATGTGATTTTAGTTAACATGCAACTTTGATTTGTATAAAAGTTAAAAAAAATCATATTTCATTTTAACAATACAGAAAGATGAGGGATACCATTGATCACTATACCTTTAAAATGTCATTTAAATCATTTACATTTGATTACATTTACATATCTTCCCATTCTATACTGAATACCCAACTCCTGTTTTGTTAATCATCTTTTTTATGGTTAAAGGGGGATAACCTACTTTTCAAAAAGGCTGTTTTGTTAACAGACAAAAAAATCAAATGGATTTATTCAGGTAAAAAAAAAATTCATGGAATTTTTTCTCTGTTTTCTTCTTTTTAATGTCATTTATCTTCTTACTTTTTTTTCTCAATTCTTGGTAATACTATAGAATAAAATCTGTATGAGTATGAACTCTCATCATATCCCAACTGTTTTTCCTGCAAGGTTTTTTCCACTTCATGTTTTGTTGTTGTTGTTGTTGTTGTTTTTGTTTTTTCTCATAAAAAAGACAAAGTTTAACATGAAAATCAAACATGCAACATTAAAAAATTTATATTATTTGGTAGAGTTAAAATAAATAATTTCCCTTCACTAATTAATGTCTCATCCCTCAAGCAAAAACAATATTAAACAATTAAAATGTTTTTAATGTGAGTATAGATGCATCAGCATTTTTTCAAATTTCCTGGAATGATAACTTTGTACAGCTTAAAACTTTAAAAGATCAGGGTTTTTTTCATCTATTCAATGGTAATATACATGAATATTTCTGGTATGTCTTTTTATTTTTTCAGAACTTTTAATTTATTAGAATACAAATAATCTGGACACTCACATACTTTAAAGTGATGTTTTAAAAAAAAAATTAAAAAAAATAAAAAAATAAATAAATAAAAAATGGATAACCACTGTCTATGCAGGAAAAAAATCTTCTCATTCTAAAAACTTCATAGATATTATATTAAACAGGCAATGATTTTTATGATTAGTCTTCAGATATAAGCTATGAACATGTAGTATGGATTACTTCTGTTTTGCATTGGTAGGTTTGTCTTTTTCTGTATCTATGACCTCCGGTTAGTGTTGCACAGGGTTGTACAAACAGTATCTTTTGCAGTTTCTGATGAGCAAAATTCTCTGATAGTTTTAAAACAAGTATGCATATCTTCCAATATCAAGTCTTCTCTCTGTGATATACATGTTATGATTTTTTAGTTTAAAATTTCAAAGGTCTAGAAAACATTCTGAAGAGATGTCACTGAGGTTTTCAATTATAAAACACCACTGGCTTCTTCTTGTCCTGGACAATATGTAGAATGCTATGTATATGTTTCCTTGACTTATGAACAGAATGTGCTATCTGGAAATAAAAAATGTTTTCTTTCAAACAATATTTAAATAAAAATTTCCAATGCTGAAAGGATGACTGCACAACATGAAAAAACCAATTCATTATCCGCTTCTATAAATTTACCTCTGATAAAATAAATTTCCCTCTGCTAAAATTCCTATATTTAACTTTCTCCAATTTAGCTTCTATACTCCAAAATGGGGTGGTCAGGTTCAATCTTGGTATGGCCAGCTATTAATCATCTGTTAATCATCTGTTTATACAGACCTAAAATTGAACAATAATATATTTGAATTGTAGTGTTAATTATTTTTTTTCATTGCTTGCAGAAAAAAAAAATAATAATAATAATCACCACTGTTAAAATATGATAATGTAAAGAACTGATATGAAAAGTTTGTCATACAGAATACCCTGTCAGTGTAGCAAAATCTATGTATTAAAGAAAGCAATTTCTACTAAAAACAGATTCTTTGCAAAACAAGTTAATACATCTTCATTTAACTTTGCTATCTTGAACATTAATCTTAAAGTCCTGGATATCTCAGTACATCTAGAATCAGTTTTTTTCTCTCCAAAAAATTAAATGCTACCTGTGATAACTCTTCATAAATAATCCATACCACAGAGCTGTGTTGTTTCTGTTCCTCAGTTAACCAAGCCTCAGTTATCCAAGTGAAATTCCCTTCTTCACCCTAGTCATAGTACTTAAAATGCACCATGTAAACTATACACCTCCTCCCTTGCAATTTTTCTCTCCTTCATTTACCAATTAAAATGTCTTCTTTCCTGATATGATAATAAAGTACAAGAAATGACTTGAAAATATTTCATTGACAAAAAGTCATCAAGTTAACTTTTGTCTTCTCTTATTGTCATAATTTTTTACTAAATAATATTTTTGTCAATGTTCAAATCTGTATCAGTATTTAAGTAATTACCAATGGTTATTTATTTCGCTGTATTCTAATTTAACATTTTTATCTATTAAAGACTGTTATTAACACCAATCAAAGTCTACATTCTCTTCACACATACAATATCGAAACCAAAAAAAAAAAAAAACCTGAACATGATGAACTTTTGAAATCCAAGGAATCCTAAAGTAAAGTTAGCAGATCCAATGTACATGCTGGACATGATTGGTTTGTGTTGCTGGGCATAACTCCCAAGAATAATGGAACTTCCACAGACATACTGTTGATACCTAAAATTTTAGAGAAATATAACTACCCTATTATCTTAACTGTCTTTTGGTATAGCATTCCTCCAAAGATATGAGTGTGTAACCTTCCTATGGAAGTACACTGCATAAGTGATTGTCCTGACCTGTTTGTGTTCTCACACTTTGGTTTCTCTCTATACACCTATGTAAAAGACATCTTTTTAGAATACATGGGTGGCCTTATTGATATTGAAAGTACCTTTTGTGAATGAAGATTCATGCCCCAGCCTCCAAAGTATATTTAAACAGGAGAGAAGGTCCACCGCAGTCCCCATGTACTCATAAGCAGATCTCGGGGGACAGTAGAAACACTCAAGTAGTTTGCTTTCCCCTGTGATATAATGTCAATATTTAATGGAAAATTCAGAAATTTATCAGTAATTGGAGTCAAAACTTGCTATCTTTATGGTATTGATTTCCATTATCAGATTTATTTTTATCCATTTTAAAATATAAACATTTAAATAATTCATAATTATCTTAATAATAATTAAATAAATTAAAATGATATCTCATTGAAACTTTTTAGATTCAAGTTTTGTTTTGTTTTTGTTTTTATCATAATTGATTCACTGTGTATTTCCAAAGGAAGACCAGCAGCCAGGCTTCACTTCATAGAGAATGGATTATAGATGGTTAGGAACAAAACATATCTTCCAGGTTGAGGACTGTATAGAAAATAAAACCCTTTTTTTTTGTTATTATGATAAAATGTTACATAAACATGTTTAAATGTAATGCAAAATAATATCTCTTATATATATGGATACCTATACTCTAATCAATTAAATGTCATTCGTAAAATGTATTTTTTAAGACAGATTTATTTACTATAGACTTTAAATGATGACATGAATAGCACGCCATACTTTAACCACATGTCAAAACATTATCTCAAATTACATAGAAATGGGTTATTTAGCATAGCTGACATTAAACATATAGGTGAGCGATAACATAATCACAATCATAAACAATGTGAAAAAACTTTAAACGACCTGCATGGTGGATTACAAGCCTTTTTCACTGGGGTAAAATCTTGCCGAGATTCGCCATGGCTGCCTAATTTACATAGAAAATTAAGTCGTACTTGAACACATTCACTCAACGTTGGAGAAGAGATTAGTAAGACTTCTGGGAATTCACCTTTTATTCTGCGTGAATATTTAAGATGAATAGAACGTGTTTAGTTTAAAAGGTATGGATATTTACTTTATTGGAATTTGGGAAAGTCTATATGTGTGGTTTTTATTGAAATATATCAGTTTACATTTAAAAAAAAAAATAAAACGCATTTTATTTCTTATGTTTTATTTTTTTTTTTTGAATGATTTACAGTGTTTGTGTAATCTTCATAATGATTATCTAAAATTACTGGTTTTAATACAGTCAAATATAATTTGTGATGATCAAAATTTCCAAATTGCCTGACCTATACATATTTAAAGTTTCAATATCATACACTCTTGAATATCCATAAATATCAAAATATATTGATTAAGCATTTTCAATTAACCATACACTTGTTAACATAAGGAAATGCTCTTACCATAAGTTAAACTCATGGAATTCTTCATGCAATTTTGAAGAATCTCTGTTATAAGGGATGGTAAAGACAAAAGACATATACATTTCCAAGTAGTAATAATTTTTTAAAACTATATATCGACACTAAATTGAGGAACATTTGAAGAACCCATTTCCTTTATAACTCATGAAATTTCATGTAGATAGTGGGTAAATAATCTTTATGAAAAAAAAGGATGGTGTAAAGTTAGCCTCACCCAACACCCAAGGGAGAAGGGAAGGGGGTTGAACTCTTTTTTTTTTGTCCAGGAAACATGAATTTTAAAGTTAAAAAAAATTATAAAATTGAATTAAATTGATGAAATTATTTTTTCTAAATGTTTCTTTTTTAATTTAACATTTAAATTTTTCCTTTTCATTACCAGACTCTCATAGGTGAACTGCATACAACTGAATGCATTTTTTATGGCAAATCATTAATAATGGGATAATATATAAACCTCAGCCATACATAAACAGGAGTGAAACTGAAAGCCATGCAGGTTTGCATTCTTAATCTTATATTTGTTTACTATATGTTTGACTTGTACCACATGTGGTTTTTTTGTCCAATTGAATAAATAAAAAAAAAATAATAATAGGCTATCTTCTGTAACCACTAGCACAATCTCAATAAAAACAGCACCTTTTAGAAAAACTTATGGCTTTTTCCTGTTTTATGTAAGACAGACTTATTTTCTTTGAACTGTGTTCATTTGAAATTGAATCATTTTGACCTTATACCTTAAAATTGAAGAAGTAAAAAAAAATTATACCTGTTTAAATTGATGACCATGTTCAGTGAGATACTTTAGCAACAAAAATAAAGGACCTGTGACCCTTCTATTTATAACAACACTTTTTTTAAATTCAAAAATTTATTCAATGATTTACACTTCTATTTCTTCTTCTTTGTCTTCGTCTTCTGATGATCGGTCCTCAATCAGTCGCGTCAACACCCCAGGTCCTTTGTTTTCCATCGAGTCTTTAATCTGGGAAAAGGGGATGCGACAATACACGTACTCTGTAGGACAATAATGAGGTGGAAACGTTAGTCCTTTTTTCTCCATCTTGATATAATATTTCAGACAATCTCCAATGTCCGAGTACCATGAACTTTCATTCCGAATGGTGTTGATGGGTGTCAGAAGATTCCTTTGAGTGCAATTAACCCATTTGAGTTGCTGATAATGTTGGTTGATTTTTACCCTCACTTTAGATCCTGTTAGAGGTGGGATTTTCATTCTTTTTTCCAACCACACATTGTCCAGGTAATAGCCTGGATGATTTTCATAGAAATCCATGATGGCTCCTATTTTAGTTTTCATCCACCCTCCTTGCATGTACATACACTGACTAATGGGACTCTCACAATATTAACGATACTGCATCTTTGGGAAACAAAAAACACGTCTGACTTGTTCCGTGTCCTTTTTCAGAAAGAGAGAGAGAGTTTTTGTCATCTCCCTCGGGAGATGACACATTAAGATTGTATGCCGGAAGTAAAGGTTTAAATACTTAAGCTACGTGGGTAGGAATCATCTTTGGACTGTTCTTTCTTATGTTAAAATACTTGTCAGCTTAGTTTTCTGTTTGCTGAATTATAAGTCATTCGGGAACTTCAGGTATAATAATCCATATATTCATTGCATTAAAATATTTCCCTTTCTGTTTTATTTCTTTGACTTTATTGATACCAAAGAGATGACATTTCAGGCTTTCTGGAAAGCCAAACTTGTTAATATATACCTCTTGAATAAAGCTCCGCTTTATATATACCTTTACTGTAAGGGCCGTGTGCAAAACATATACGATAGGCCTACGTTTTTTTATGCTGACTACACAGGTAAATACTTGCGCCGTGTGCAGAACATATACGATAGACCTACGTTTTTTATGTACACAGGTAAATACTTGGCAGCGATTCAAATCCGTGATTGTGACGTCATCCTTACAAACCTAATGTATAGAGAGAGCGCTTAGTTGTGTGTATATAGGGAAATAACTAACAACACTAGAATTTTTGGGTTTTTCTTTTATTTTTATTCATATCAATAACAACAAGAACAAGAACATCATAATAATAAACATTCAAAACTTTTCTTCAGTTCTTTTTGTATGGGGAAGGATCTCCTCATGTACAAATAGTGTGTATCACAACCACAGTCCATGATATTGTATCCTTTTAGGGTCACTTTCTTACCATAATCTTTAATACAATCACCGGATTTTTCTATCCATTTCCCTTGAAACAAAGTGCTTTCGGGTCCTTCTCTTTGGTGAGGCAAGACATATTTGATTTTCCATTTGAATTCCCGATACTTGGGATGTCTGGGTCCTGCTAAGAGCAGGATGCTGTCCCCTATGGGATCAGGTATTTTTATTCTCTTATACAGGTAGATTTCATGGAGACCTGTTTGTCCTGGATTCTTATCAAAGAAATCTTGAATACATTCCTCTTTGTTTTTCATCCATTCTCCCTTTAAAGTAGTACCTTCTGGTTCTACTATTTTCCAAAGATACTCTGAGCTTAAAAATTCCATGATGTGCTCTGTCCCTCACTCAGATCAGAAATGATCTCTAGGATTTGTAGGTCTCCTTTTTATATAGACTCTCAGGTGTAATTATTTTTTAACTTGCAGAGGAAAAAACCAATAGAGAATTTTTAATTAGGAATAATTCAAAACTCTCATTCTTTATCACTGAGTGTGGTAAAAAAAAAAATAAATCTAGGTCTGAGGAGCTTGCTTAACAATAGAAAACACCAAATTTGGGTTCTGTCCTTTTATTTATAGTGAACACAGAAATCTTTTTCATTTTTTTTTGAAAATAAGAATGTCTTTTTTATAGAGAAGGAAAAACAACAAATAAAAACAATTCAATTTTTTTTTAATTCAAAAAAAGTCAAACATATCAACATATCAATAACCATAAGGTAAAGTGTTATAATTCTCTACAATTTGTCTCTTGTCATATACAATTCTATACTTTTTCTCTGAAGGTTTGTTCACGACCTCATGATCACGGGTCCTCTGGATTTTGCTGTGATAAGGGACTGTCACTTCCTCTATTTCTCCCTTAAGCATTTTTTCTAAAGTGTCTGGGCACACGATCTGGGAGGTTCGATGGTTGAGAGTGATTCCTTTGCATTTAAGGGTCTCGGTTCCTTTGTCCGTGCGGAAACCATAATTTTTATGACCTGCCGACATGAATTTGGTAATGTGATCCCCGTCTAATTCGTCGGTCCATTCTTCTAAACTATGGCCCAAGGTAGGATTAAAAGCTCCTTCCATATGTTGGTAAATGATACTGTCCGTATCGAAATAAAGGCCCCGTTCTTCTAAAGGTTGTAAAGTCTCGTAGAGGGGCGGTGGTAAAACAAGCCAGGACCACGTTTCCAAAGGGACATTCTTCGACGAATTCTTGTTTGTCTTGATAATTCACTAGAATCTTGTCTTCATTGGAATCTTCTTTATTGACTAAGAGTTGCATACCCTTGATGTCGAGAGTCGAATTTTGTAAGAGTTGGTGTAATTCCTCTACTTCGTCCAAGTATCTGATTTTGGGTAATAACAAGCGTTGAGCAAATTTTCCCCACAGACAATTTAAAAAGAGTTTAGCAATGGTTCTTCTCACTGGATTCTTCTGGATACTGATCCAATCCATTAGGAATCCTTCTTTCTCTAAGATTTGTCGAATGTAATCTTGTTCTTGTTCTGAGGTCTTACAGTCGGGGGGAAATCCGGACGCTTCCTGTTTGATCTTGAGGAAGGTATTGATATAGTCTTTAAATAACTCTTGACTGCTTTCTTTAAAATGCCACACTTCGTAAATTCGCTCTAAGGTATAGCCCATGTCCAGGGCTTTATGTAATTCGCTCGTCACCCAAGTACCCGTGAGACTACGTTCCCGGTCGGTGTGTGGACATGGATCTTGAGAAGTAGAGTCTTGTTGTTGGGCACACGTGCGACATAAGGGAAATAATAACTTGCCTCCCGTCCGATAAGGTAATACGGGGTGAAAGAGGCCTCGGGGTGGTAAGACCCGACAGTGAATGAGACCGAAATAACTTCTCACGTCCTGGAACTCGTCTGTGAT